CCCCTCCCACACACTCCCGACCTACTCCCGGCGCACATGCCACCACCCCTGCTCCTCCCTCCTCCATGAGGGCGCGCCGCCGCCCTTGTTCTCCCTTCCCCCTGCTGGCATGCGCACCGCCGCCCCTCTGGCCATCGCCGGCATCCCGCTCGAGCCCGTGGACCCGAGGAAGATGGAGTCCATGGATGATGGGAAGGAGCGGCGGCTGCCTCGTGGTGACCTCGATGCTGCTACTGGTATGTGTTGTGCAATCTTCAGATATGAAAAAAAGATAGTACAGAGAGGAAAGAGGATTGCAGTTCAGACAGATTGACTGGTAAGGTTCAGAGATGTTGCTGAATGGAATACATGACCGAATGGAATCTATAATTTGCAGCTATAGCATCCTATAGTCCGGGAACCTATAATGTGCTCAATAAATCCATGTTTATACCTTCCAAGTTTCACTTGCATGTTTCCCTTGTATTTGATGTTGTGGCTGGTAAGTGCTTGTCTCTTATGGAGTATAGGTTGCAGTGGAGTAAGTGAAAAGTGTGCATGATTGTAGGTTGAAACTTGCTAATTATGATTGAGCAGATGGAGCCTGATGCCCGCGTCTATACCTCCTAAGTCGGAGGCGGCGTACCATGTGTCGACCGCCCTGAACCCTGGTCCTCATGATCACGTCAACCAACAGGGTCAACGACAAGGATGCTTCTGATGTAGTAGGACTAGATGCGACACCTTTCCTGAATTTTCTTATGTATGATGCATTTCATAGTGTTTCTTCTATCACGGTAACAAGAATCTCTACCTACTTTATTGGTGAAATTGAGGTTGAATACCAATATACGCACATACAGCAGCAATGGTTGATGACAACAACAGCCTTGTAGCTTCAGGTATGAGATTAAGAAGGCTCACATTTTTTGCCTAATTGTAGTTTATGGTACCCCTTTTTCTTATGTTCACGTGTACGAGCAACTTCACATCAAAATTTATATGTGTGGTTTGTTTTGCCTTCTTTGATTTTGCTAAGGAGTGGAGCATGAGGAGGGCTCTGTATTGTGGCGGGGAAGGAGCAGAGGAATTGTGCATCCGGGAATGGCACGATAGCCAATCCTATTTATTGCTCTACTGTCTGACAGGTGCCACAACGGCCTTGTAGCTTCAGGTATGAGACTAAGAAGGTTCACAAGTTTTGCCTAATTGTAGTTTCTGGTACCCCTTTTACTTATGTTCACGTGTAGAAGCAACTTCACAGCAAAATTTATATGAGTGGTTCGTTTTGCCTTCTTTGATTTACAAATTGCTAAGGAGCGGAGCATGGAGCAGGGCTCTGAGTCGTGGTGGGTTATGTCGGAGGGCTCTGGGTTATGGCAGGGAAGGAGCGGAGGAACTGTGCATCCGGGGATGGCGTGACCGCCGATCATATCCGTCGCACTGGTGCTTGACAGGTCAAATGATCAGCAAGGCATGTGACAGCATCTTCAGGCCCAACTCTCACTCTGCTGTCTCCCATTCAACGCACTCGTCGATGCTAGGGGTGGATGGTTCTTTGATGTTGGCACAACTGGAGACAGCAAGAAGCAGAGGGAGGGAGGCTATCATGTTGAAGAAGACGCCGGCACCCTGACAGCGGAAATGCGGTTTCTCGGAGCTAGCGGGAGGAGGCCGATGGCTTCCTGTTGTAGTAACGCGATGCTGAAGCAACAACGCACCAGGTTCCATTCCTCTTTTTTGAAGATCACACCACGTTCTATTTGTTAACCATTTTTTCACTACCAGTAATTACTAGAGTATGTGAACAAAATCTGGTGTGAACAAAATCTAAAATGTAATTTGTGATATTTGAGATGTCTACAAGTGTACAAATAGAAATGTGTCAATTCAATTGATTGTCAGATTCAGAATAGTATGTGTGTAGTGGCTTCCATCTCAGTTTTTTTATGCTGTTTGTGTTTGAATTAATTAGAACTTTGACCATCGTGTTTGTTTAGCCTGCAAGGTGATTAGCAGTCAGCAAACTATTGGAAAGATGATGGTACCTCGTTTTTCTCAAGCTGTGAAGACATGCACAAGAATAGGTATGGCTACATGCTTTCTATATCCGTCAGCTTCATAAATCATTTTGGAGGGGTGCATCTTGTTGGAGAGGTCTGGTATGCATGTTTAATCAAAGAAAACAAAAGTTTTTTTATGTAATAAAGATTGATGAAAATTTGGACTTTAGATTGTATCAGGGACAATTTTCACGATAAATTACACGAAGTTTGTATCTTGGGACATCTTCATGCCGACTTACGTTCAATATTAGGATATGTCCCCTCATGTGCCAGTTTTGAGATTTTGTTAGAAGTTCACGATCTGTTCTTAGTTCCTGCATGGTTCTTCACCTTTCTGTAGAGATTTGAGTATAACTTAAAGTTCCAGATGCATATAAGCTTGTGAGTTAAATAAAACTCACTTGATGGTTCTAACTAAATTCTGCAAAAATATGACCCATGACAGAAAGAGACATGGAGGTTTAGAGGCAGAGTGGATGCCTGCACCAACAACTTTATAGATTGAAATACCTTTTGCTAGATGACTCAAATTTTAGAACGTGTGCATTATTTTTTGCAGAATTTAGTTAACAATATAATCAAGTCAAGCTTAAAACAAGAGATCTACTCTTTGATATTGAATTTAATTCCGTTCTTGCAAAAGCACCAGAGATGAGTGAGGAGATTATTCAATATTGAATTCAATTCCTTTCTTGTGCCCATGATCGATCTACTTCCATACTGCAAGCTTGCACCTGATCAGGTTTCTAACTTAATTCAGTTTTGTTAGATCCGTCGATGAAGTAAACAACATATTTCAAGATATGATGGTTGGTACTTCCAGGTTTGCTGTACTCTGTCATTTGCCTTTGTGGGAACAATACTGCTCTATTTGCTTATTTAAGATCATGGTAATCATTTTTGCTAGCCAATGTGTATTATAATTTTCTCCCCTTATTGTTGCAGGTTAGAGTGTAGCTTTCAGATGATTTTCTACCCTCGGGATATTTGAAGATTGTTTGTTACCCATCAAGTTCAGAAAAACCAAGGGTATCATATGAATTGGATTACGTAGAAAACACAGAGATAAAAGGTACATGGTTGCATTCATATAGACACTGATTTATCCTTACTAGGGCTTAATCAGGTCATGTATGGTTCATGAATCTGCTATTTCTTTACAATTTTTTTAAAAGTTTCTAGCTCATAGGTCCAGCATGTTCGATTAGGAGGTTTGCATTGCTCTGAATGAATGAATTAAGGATGCCCCGATGTTTTGAGTTTAGATGTGATAATTTAGTTTCAAAAATTTTCATAGATTTGTGCAGTAGTAGCATAGTTGTGACGCCTCTATAACAATTCTACAATTGAAGGGGTATTTTATCTACTATCTCCACGATGACACTGGTGCCCGTGCGCACGATGATGGCATGGTGACGATGAATTGGGTTACGTAGAAGGTCGTCTTCCCGGCGCACCACGCGCTGGCCCCCGTCTCCATCCGCGGCCGCATCAACAAGACAGGTACGCCGCCGCGCCCTCGACGTATTCCATTGCACCTAATTTGTACTATCAGTACAAGATTTTATTCCTGTGAAGTAACGTTTGGAAAAATGGGCAAGATGGGTTTGGTCATTGTTGTGCTTTATTTTTTAGGCGCGTGCCATGATAACTTGACGACACCCCTTTATAGACATTATAGTATAGATCATTCTCATGTGTTTGTCCTGCAGCTATAGGAACATTTATTACTGTACTATGGCCGCGCAATTATTTAGAAAAAATACATAACCTGAATCTGAATTGCTAAAACATGGAATCGTTCTGCTTCTTCGTGGTTTAATCTGTGATTGTCATGTTCCCCACCAAGTTATGCTATTTCACCACAGTTGTTCATGAAGTTAAGTTCAGTGTAGGGAAAATGGATAAAGTCTGCTAACTGGAACTGGATAATTGATCCTTTAAATGGAGAAAAATCTCTCAAAGTTGCTGGGGGTTCATGGATCTAAAATAAAGGTATTTATGTTTTGCGGTGTTTCTCTTTTGTATTCCATGTTACAACACTATGCGTGTAATTTAGTCATAGTATCTCAACTTTTCTCAGTTCAAATACAATATTTTTTTCCTTCGGAAAGAGCTCAAAATACAAAGACTGACTTTTATGCTATTTCATCACAGCCACTGACGAAGTTAAGTGCAGTGCAGGCAAAATGGATATAGTCTGCCAATTGGAACTGGATAGTTGATCCTTTAAATGGCAAAAAATTAATCAAAGTTGCTAAGGTTCAGGGATCTAAAATAAATGTATTGATGCTTTGTGGTGCTTCTCTTTTGATTTCCATGCTACAGCGCTATGAGTATAATTTAGTCATAGTATCTATCAACTTTTCTCAGTTCAAATTCTTTTTCTTCCAAAAAGAGCTCAAAATACAAAGAATCAATTTTCTTTGTTTAAACTTTACTGGTATTGTCGTGTGTGTATTAGATCTGAAGTGTGTTCTCAAACAGTATAAAGTAATTTCATGTTGCAACCATTTGTATTAAGCATGGACTTCACAACCCACATAGAGCTCCAGAGAGGTATGTGTTGTTTTCTTGTACTATGAATTTAAGGCGGTTCTCGAGAGAAACAAGTTACCATGGACCGGCGAGATCAAGACATGGCTCCGACAACATCAACCCAAGCGGCGGCCGTGATAGAGAGAGCGTTCGTGAGAGGGGATGGAGTGGCGGCTGCACGTCTGTGTCGAGTCGACCAGTTGCAAGAGCGGATGGGGCGGTGGCTGCGCATATGCGCTCGTGGAGGTGCCGGTATGCACCCTGATTTATTTGAGCCTGGGAGGTGCCGGTATGCACCCTGATTTTTTTTGTATGCATATCCCTGAATTTTATGTGTCGTGATTTAAGTGTTGTTGTGTGTGTCATTGTGTCCTATATAATGATTCTTATTGACGCACCACTGCAACCCAGTTCGTTTATCAAATTGATGCAAGAAACAAACTAATACATAGAGAGTACAAATTTATTACAATAATCTATTATGCCCTGCAGTACCTGTGCACCTTGCAATAGGTAGAGATGGATAAATTTTGTAGCTTTTTGTTCCCCTTTTTTTCCATTGAAATTATGGATTTGGAAGCTATTCATGCAGTGTTTCAATTGCTTGCTATATTATGGATTTGCAATGAGCACAAGCCTGCAACGTTGAAGGAAAAGCCGTTGTCGCTGATGACATGACACTGTGGGTGAGATTTTTTATTATGTTAGCACAGAGTACAGACTAATATTATGCCGCAACAACAATGTATATACCTTCCGAGCTTTGTGGATGCTTCTCTTCACAAAAGGAGAGGTTTAGAGTTCATGCTTTGTGCTTATTAGAAAACAAAGAAAAGGAACGAGTTGCTTGAAATATTGACATGTATATAGTGTAACAAAAACATGCTTACAGTTCTAACATGAATTTTATTGAGCTGAGAGTTGTGATATGCAAATGTTTTATGGTTGATGGTTCTGTACCATCGGTTATATTGTATAAAAATGGTCTCTGCTTTCATCTTCTTTGATGATATATTTTCTTGTAAAAATTGAAATGCATAATGCACCTATTCTTTTTATCGTGGTTCCAATTTTTTGCCAATTTTATAAATTCTTTATGAATAGTAACATAGACGCATGTTCTTAATCTATTTTTTTTCACCCCAAAATGCTGTGTAGATCTGCCATTGACATTTTTTGGAGCACTGGATGAACATTTGCTAACATGTTGATAGGAAAAGCCTTTGTTTCCTCATAAAATGTTTCCCATTAGTTAAACTTATTGGATACATGCAGTATGCACGATGACCATGTACAACCTTTTTAGTTAGAATTGTGTCTGCTACTAATCTATCTTTACTTAATAGAATGAACTCTGCATGTTTCGGAAACAAGAGGTAATGCAAACATTTTATTCTGTTGTAAACTTGTGATTCAGCATTGGCTGAGGTGATGTCATGTTGCGGCTGGAGCCATCATCGACCACGATGTCGTGCTAGGAGAACAAGGGCAAAGGCGAGGACATGTTGGTGTTGTTGGAATAAGGTTTATTGGGTCTTCCTCCTCCAGTAACATATTACACAATGTATTTAAGCTGATTGATTCTCTTTGGTAAAAATGTCTCTCATTTGCTTGATGAAACTTTACCTTTGTAAAATTAGCTGAGTTATATACATCTATGTGTGGTATCTATCTGGTTATATTAAACTGCAGTTCATTCTTCTTGCTGGAAGGGGTGTCGTGAAATATGATCTGGATGCCATTGAAGTTGTATATATGTTGCTATCCATGTGAGTCAATCCTATGATACTACTAATCATCACATAAGGTCATATGCTAATTCTTGAGCTATGTACACTTAAAGGTCCTCTCACCTTGGATCATATTAATCTGCTATCAATGGCTGAGACTGAGCTATGATTGCTCACCACTTTCTTAAATCTATTTTTTAAACACCTCATTCTTCCTGAATTTTCGGATTCACCGAGTAGCATCGCAAGTTAATTCAAGTAATTGGTCTTGAAAACATGTGTTCTTTCCAGTCCACGAAATG